GTCTTACTGTCTAGTATATCAAGTGCCGGCTTGTAAGGTCTCTTTTTGCAGTAAAATGTTTTTCAGAAAATATAGTTCAAGTGATCGTTAAAAAGAGTTGATAATTTATATTTAGTAATTTATCAATTTTTAAATTAAATAATTTAGCTTTATATTTAATAATATTATTTAGCCTAAAATTTTTTAAAAATTTTTAAAAATTTAAAATTATATATAATTTGTTATACTGAACAAATTTTACATAAAAATAAATTTTAATTTACTTAATAAAAAATTAAGTTTTAATATATAGCAATTATAATAACTAATTTTTAAAAAATTACTATTTTTATATATGTATAACATTATACAAAATTGTGTAACCTTAATTAACTTAAAAATTATTGCATAAAATTTTGCAAACTTTTTTTTTATTTAAAAGCTTTAGATTTAAATAATATTTTATATAATTTTAGATCTATAGCTTATTTATTTAGCTCAATATAAAATTTTAAAAAGTGTCTATAATACCATGATACTCCACTGTATATATGACTAATTGTACTTTTGTGATATTGATATAATATGTAAAGCTAGTATTAATAATAACAATGATCTAATCGTTTAAACTAATAAAGTGCCAAAGATCTAAGTGGTCACTTTAATATTAAAAAAAAAAAAAAAAACATCTAGCAACATATTTTTTTTACTATAACTAAATGTTAATTTAATAGTCTCACAGGTCCCTTTATTGCAATTATTTAATGTTAAATATTTAAGTTTATCAATTCAAATATGCAATAAAAACTTGACTGACTTTAATATTCAGCCTGCATTAAATTTTATTCAGTATCACTCTCTTGCAGAATCATTTCTTATAGTTGATTTTGATTAACAGTTAATAAATACATGCTTTAAAACTTTTTCTTACCTTATATAAAATTTTGTAATAAAAATGTGACTTAAAAAGGCTATAAGAGCAACAAGTATAACATTTTTTATTAGTAGTTTTATCAAAATTTATATAATACAGGAATTTGAAATCTCTACTATTTCCTAAAATTGTTAAATCTAAATCTATCTTAAGCAATCGTTAATTATAAAAGGTTTAATTTTACCAGAAAAATAACAAAATAGATCAGTGTTTAGAACTTATAACTAAGTGGAGTTGCTTTATAAAGAAAAAACTAGTATTGGATTTGGATAATATAATTACTAATCATATAATTTTTTTCTAGCAAGTTTTTTAGATCTAGTGAATGGACAGTATAAAAATAAACAAGTTCTTTACCTATAAAATAAGTTAGCAATAATATTATCTTTGCTCATATATATTTTTTACTTGATTTACTTACCTGTAATTTTTTAAGTAATTTGCTATTTTATTTAATAGAAACTTTAAAACTGAATTTTTACTTATTATAATTTTTCTTATATTTAGGTATGAAAAATAGATATTAACAATAGCACTACTATTAGATCAATGATAGCACTGCCCCCAAGACCAACAATAGCACCACCACTATGAGTAATAATACTACTACTACCTTTATGACTAATGATAATAACTCTTCCAAGATTTTCTATTATATCTCTTCAACTTTGCTCAATCCAAGACCTAACTAAAGGATATTTAATTCATAATAATAGAAAAAACAGATATGATAAATAAAACTTACTTTCTTGATCTGATTTGCAAAGTGATAATATAGTTAGTTATACTAACTTTTTTTTTTTGAATTTATAAGAAAAAAATACTTATATAGTAAAATTTTATTTAAATTAGACAATTCGATCTATAGTATCTTACAAGATGATGAATATTATAAAAAGAAAAATAATTTTTGGACACCATTTTTGAGAAAATTTATAGAAAGATATATGAAGAATGATAACTGAGATGATATAAATCCTGGTAAAACTTAAAAAATATTAGATCAAATATAAACCCTGCCAACCTAATCTGTTAAGAGTATATATGTTTTTTTATTATAAAAATATATATATTTTAATTGTATATTGTTGTTTTGATAACAATTATTATGAAATAAAAAAAGGATCCTATACTCTCCTCATTTTTTATTCATAACATATCATGCTTCTAACTGACTTTATCTTTTCACCAATTTATACTACTTGGAATTTGTATAAATTCTTATGCCCAGATCAATAATTAGTTATAACAAATTTCACTCCAATAAACAAAATAAAATAAAGTAAATTAGAGTTTCAACAATATCTAAATTAAGCCAAAATGATATTGATACTCAAAAGTCAATTATGTATATACTATCCCATATATTATACGATGTTGTAACCTGGAATCACATTTTATAAAATAAGTTTTTGTGTTTGCAGATATCAATATAAAAATAATAAAAAAAGCAATAAAAAATATTTGAGTATTAAAAAAAAACAAACAAGGTATTAACTCTGCTATATATATCAATAAAGTCATTTTCATTATTTTTTACTAACTAAGTTGGTCAACAAATATAAAATATTTATTGTTAATATGCACTAATTAAATAATCTAATTTTCTATAAACTTCACTAGTATAATACTAGCATGAACTAGTAAATACAAATATTACATCACATAGTCTTTATTCTTCAGCAAGAATTTTACTAGCATATTTTAGATGATTGATCTTATATGACGAACTTTCTAGATACTATATTGAATATATATACACACATTAAAACAAAAGACAGATTAATAAATATTTTATTAAGTTTTATTGTTTTTTTATTGATATAAAAGACTAGCTAAAATAAATTTATCATCTATTTTGAAATAATAAACCTAATAAATATAAATTATTATTGATTCTTTTACTTTTCCTAAAATATAAATATTTATAATACTTTTATCCTTGCTTACTTTCTATTTTTTCAAATGCAATCATTAATTAGAGAGAAACATTTTTTTTTAGTATTTACTATAGATTATGAATAAAATTTGATTTGCAATATAATAATCCATAATTGACAACCTTGATATTGAAGATATAATTGAGTAAATTATACTTGTGGTCTAGTTCATAAAGTATACTATTAACTTCTTTATATATTTCCTGTTGAACATGATATATTAGATCTTTTGATATTCAAAAACTAACTTATATTGCACATTCTAGTATTCTATAATAATACTTACTATTATGTATTTAAAAATTTTTACCATTGATTTTAACTTTTTAATATGAGCCAATTTGGTAAATATCTTAAATATTATTTTAGAAAAAACAACATAAAAGTCATTTATTAAGTCTTTTAATAACATCTGCTCATAAATGCCAAAAATTTGCAAAAAAGAGATCTTTATTTTATTCACTTGCTCCTTGGTTAAGTTTAGCCTCAAAATGGCATTCAATATTGATTAATTTACTCTGACAAAATAATAGTGATCTCCAATTGCTTTTGTATTAGTTACATGTATAAAAAATTCATATTTATCAAGATTTGTTCTTGAAGAACTTAAAAACTAGACAGTACATTTCTTTCTCTTTTATAACTTGTAAATTGGCTTATAGGACAAAAAGATTTTTCTCTGTATATAAATTTATAATTTATATATTAGCTAAAATTAAAAAACCAAAAAAATATACTTAGTTACTATTTGCAATTTATTTCAAGGCTTTTCTTTAATTCTTTTATGATATAAGAGTATGTTTTTATGATAATATCTATTTCAATATAGCCCTCTCCATAATCTAACAAATTATCACCATTTTTTACTTTGTAAAGATTATAAAAGCAAATAAAGACAAATCAAAACAAGCTACAAATATTAAATACAAATAAAGTAAATATATACAATTTACTATATATTTTGCTTATTTTATAAATACAAGTGTTGATTGGCAAGTTGATATGGATCCCAAGTTAATATTTGTATGCCTTATTAAATCCTTTCTTTTATATATAAAAATAGAATTTTTTGTAAGTTAAGCCAACTATATATAAACACTTTGTAACTAAAACTTGAGTTGATAGTCTCAAATTTAAGGCTAGTTGCTACTTGAATTTTATTTCAATTATTGTATTTTATATTGATATTAGAATAGCCTTCTTAGATTTTTGTTGATTTTTAAAAAGTTTTCAAAAATTTCAAATACATATTTACAAATATATCTTTTCTATATTTGCAATGAATGTATTTACCTTCTTATCTAATACAGGAACTGTTAAGATTGCTATGTGATTTTTTATCATGTGCTAAATATCAATATCAGAAAACCAATCTCACATATATACCAAGAGATCTATAACCTTTAACATACTATACATACTATATCTCAAGATAGCTCTCTCCACTAGACTTAGTGTTTTCTTTTTTTTTAAGACCTCTGCACCTTGAGATATATTTATAGAGTAAATTTTATTGATGGATTTTCTTGAGGATAGATTCTATTTTTGTAAATTAGTTGACACAGAACTTAGAAAACTGTCTAAATCAGAAATTTTCTCACTATTATTATCAAATATTATTTGTGAAGAAGAAAAGCTCACTTTATTACTATTACTTGCTAGAATGAAATTCAGTTGTGGTGGTGGCTTTGATAGCACTGTATTATCAAGAAGGATGCTTCCAATTTGTAAAAGAACTCTCACTTTATCACTATTACTTAGTAAAGTAAAATTTGATTGTGGTAGAGTTGGTAACACTATACTATTAAGAAAAATACTTCCAATAATGTTTACTTTATCACTGCTACTTGGTGGAGTAAAATTCGATTGTGGTTAAGTTGGTAGCACTGTACTATCAAAAAGGATGCTTCTAATTTGTAAAAAGAACTTTTACTTTATTACTATTACTTGGTGGAGTAAAATTCAATTGTAGTAGAGTTGATAGTGCTATACCATCAGAAAGAATACTTCCAATAACACTCACTTTATCACTACCACTTGGTGGAGTGAAATTTGATTGTAGTGGAGTTGGGTATCCTTATGTCAAGCAAATTTCGGGCTGAAGATCACTTCCGGCCTAAAAATTTTGGGTCGTAGTATATCAAAA